AAAAAATGGGAGTAGTAAGCAGCTAGTATCGGACTTCCCTTGCGTACCAGAGGTCAAGAACACAGACGGCCAGTGGATATAAGCGTAGTTACCATGGTCGTGCACATTTTAAGGCGGCGTACATTCACAGACAGTACGTTCAGAATATTCCCCAATATATTAAAAAGACTAAGCGGGGAGTAAGAAAGTTACAAATGTACGATGAACAATTAAGGAAAGTTAAATTTAATAATAAATATGTGGCAAGATTACTGAATGATATTGAGTTGGGTAGTAAAAGATGTGACGGTCAATCAGACAAGATCGTTTTTGAAAGTATAAAATTAATTGGGAATGTTCAATTAGGACAAGAGGCTAGAGGAAGCTGTGATCCACCGCGTTTTGTTTTTCATCATAAGTGATAATACTCCGTCATATTTAGTCCCCACACCTGACAAGATATTTATTGGAGTTTGTGAGAGTAATCTTGAGACCTAGATTGTTGATCCTGACCAGTCCGACAGGTTTTAGATGCTAAAGAAAATGAGATTCAAGCTCGTTGGTGGCAAGAACAAAGAGTATGTTCGTCACAAAATAGAGGTTGTGGATCGATTTTTCCCAATTGATGTTTGGACGGACTACAAAGATACGTTGTTGGGAAATGTTGGAAGTATTTAAAAGGGTGCGATATATTTAGTGACTGCTACTATTAGTGGAAACAAATGCAAAATTATGTTAAGGAGTCAAATGTACTTTAAAACTGTTTAAAATTTTAATTTTATGTATTTTTATTTGTAATGTTCAGGTGGACGGAGGTGGACGATATAAAAACTAGTGTTTTTGAAAGTATTTCAACAAGTGATTTCAGTTGTATTGAACTTATTTTGCCTAATTTATTTTCTCATTTCAGATTGAGATATAAACAAAAACATTTACTCTGACCAACCCCCTGGCATTGGGTGCGCAAAGGGAGAAATATTTTATCAATATTTTATCAACCTTAACACTCTTTTGTTTATAACTCAATCTCAAATGAGAAAATAAATTAGCAAAGTAAGTTTAATACAACTGAAATAACCTGCTAAAACACCTTCAACACCACCAATTTTTATATCGTCCACCTCCATCCACCTGAACATTACAGATAAAAATACATAAAATTAAATAATCATGCTTGGTAACCATGACTGGTCTGGTTATAATGACAAACTTTAGTGCAAGTTACCTTCCCCATATGAAATCCATTTCTACTATAAACAAAACAGATAGTGAATATTATCTTTATCACCTAAGCTTCTTTCATGATAGTAAAGCTTCTTAAAAAGCATATTTAGTAAAAGAAACAATTCTAAGGCAGGACCCTCCACTCCCCCAACTTCTCCTTCGCATGAAAAATTGCCGTACTCATTATGCCAGAAACTAATTGAAGAGAATGGAACAGGGTCAAGGCGAACAATTGGAAATAAAGGAGTTACACCCCTACCAGTGCTGAAGAGGTAATCCCTCTTTCTAATGCCTTAAAAGAAACAGAGTGGAATAATTCTGAAGTTGTGAACAAAATTAGTAAAGCTTCAGGAAAAGGTCAACTATCAAAACTCAAGTGTTGCATTTCCCACAATGTAAATTTTGGGGCAAACACATGGGGTTTCCACCTTACATACTTCAGGAACTCTAAAAAACTACTTTTACCACTTCATAAAATAGTCTATGATACACCTTAGCATGGAGAACTAGAATCGTTTCATTGGTAGGTGGGGAGCAATTCTCATCCAGTTTCTCACTACAGCAATTCCAAGTTAGTAGATCAATTTTCTTACAAAAAGCAGTCCTCAGAAAATTTTGTTCTTTAGATGATGAGAGGGGGAACACAGTTCACCTCCTAACTGGAAGAACACTCTTAGGAAAGAGTAATGAGGGTTTTGGTATTCACAAGTCCAGGAAACAACCTTGCCTATCTTTAATGTTGACAACAAGTCTTAAACAGAATAAGCCATTATCCATTAAAGTTACAGCTGCCAAATATAACTATAATATCAAGTTGTGGAATTGCAAGGGAAAGAATCTATACAAATGTATGTATATATATTTCTAATGGACTACTTTAAAATTCTATGCCTTCAAATAAAGACGTCAAGTGTAGAATGGGTAATAGCACCCTTGTAGGACTGGTGACTTGGTAAAAAGGCCCCTAGCCAATAAATTGCCTCACCGAATCAGCTCCAATGAAAACAGTCTCAGGTATTCTAGACTTAACCCAGCCCACAAACATTGCACCTTCTGACTTTAGCATTTGGTATAGAACCTCCTAAGTAGAGTATTCAAAAGTAGCCTATGACCAGGCCACCATCCCAAAAAATCCATGTAAGGAACATACACTTAAGATTGCACTTGGATATTAAAAATTTTTCGAAAATGCAAGTGTAAATTAAAATGACACGCCGTTTTGTTTCTAACAAATATAGGATAACCCCTCCCTTCTAAAAAATATTCTTGACACCACTTTGGTTGACAACATGCAAAGACACCCCAATGGCCCAATGTTAATGGTCCATTAATGAAATTATTGGAAAAATGGTGATTTCATCATTCTGATAGTTTAAACTTCCCAACTTGCCCCTACTACATATGTAAGATACATTTTTAGACGACAAAAAAAAAAGCATGTTAGATGAATATAGAAACATGATTATTTCATAGGTTATGTGCGTATTTAGGGACTTGAAATGCCAAGATTTGGCATTAATCATTCAAGAAAAATACCTCAATTTAAATTTGAAAGTCTAGCTATGGATTTCAAGTTTGAATTATATAACTTTATCATGATGGATTTGAAATAACTATATAAAAGTAGTTACTTGAAATCATGCCAAGGATTCGTAGCTACAAGGATTCTACTAAAATATCTTCTATCTTGATTTATCTTTCTCTATAGTTATTTTATCCACATCTATAATAAATAACTCTCCAATATTTTAAAAAAAATTTAACCTCAAATCCCTCGATTTGAAATCTACATCCATCCAAACGAACAATTAGTATTGCAATGCAAAATTTTTAAGCACAGTTTGAGTTTCATTTCTCTCAAAATAAATAAATAAATATATAAATAATTACATTTACTTATGTTAAACATACATTTTAATTCACATCCAACAAACTAAAATGAAAATATAGTAATACTAAATGAAGCAATCCCACTTTGCCACATCAACAAGAATAAACTAGACTAAATTTAGGAGCTATAATAAAGCTAAATCAATATTAGCAAGAAAAAGAAATAAATGCTTTGGAAGATAAGATCCCTTTTTTTTCTTGTTTTTCTCTCTTTCTTTCTTTGCTCGTTGCATATCATGAGATGAAGAAAAATTTATTAAGTCATATCTCATCATGGTAAGGATTCATCAACCTACTAGTTATTTTTATGAAGCACAAACAAGAGAATTTAACTTGTATGGGGAAGAACTACTAAAACTAAATGAAATCCTCACAAGGGTTTACGTAAAAAGAATGGATAAACCTTTGTGGTTCACCTTAACCTCCACAAGAAGATGGTTTATTCAATAATTCATGCATAAGGGTAAGGAACTTTGGATGAACTAATGCAAATAGGTGCAAGCCTTGAGCCTTTCCATCTGTGGCATATGTTGGAAACTAATATTACAGGAGCTTAAAGAGAGTAATGAATACCCTGTTGATTGCTTCCACTTGGCCCACTACAACCATAGATTATTGGTCTACTAGTTCAGCACTCTAGGAAGTAAGTGAAAGTTGGTCAACAGCAACAGGATAAAAAAAAATGTTTTGTTAGTATCATATATGTGGTAGTGTGTACTAGAACTAAATTTCAGAGATATATAATATACTTTAATTTATGACTATCACTGTTATCAAGCAAATTCTACCTTTTGTCAAAACAACATACAAGCATCTTTCGTGATCTGAGATGCAAGTCAAGTGAGGTCATTCTACAAATTCTTAGAGATTGCCCTTGAAGCCGAATACGTTAAGGTGGCAATTGTAGGGCAAATAAGTCAACCAAATTAGCAAAATTTATTAAATACACATACAAAACCCCCTAAATTATTGGCTTGTATGGAAGGAATACTAATTAGCAAGATTTTGAATTCTTATCTTCATTTGATGTCACTTCTTTGACGATTCTAACCTTACAAAAGGAATCAATGAGAACTTTAAATTCCTTGTCCTAATCATGATAGAAGCGTACCAAATTAGAGAAATGAAATTTTGGTCCCCCAATTTCATTTAGAAGTGTTTCAATTTAGAAATGAAATGTTGCTAATCATGATAGAAGTGTTTAAATTTAGTCCCCCAATTTTGGTCCCCAAAGTATGAGCCTTGTAACATTTTGATTCCCAATGTTTAAATTGTGTCAATTTGGACCCCAATGTTTAAAAGTGTTTCAATTTGGTCCCCAATGTTGAAATTGTGTCAATTTGGTTTCCAATGTATAAAAAGTATTTAAAACCAGATTGAAACACTTTTATACATTGAGGATCAAATTGACAATTTAAATACTGAGGACCAAAATGACACAAGGCTCATATTTTGAGGGGGTAGGCAGAACTTGATAACAATTAAGGTGTTACTTTCTGCTAATTTCAAACCAAGAGGAAGGACCTTTTGTTAGCCAATAGGCTTTGAGAGACTTCCTTAATGAGGCTTTATCTTATTCCAAAGCCAATGTGATATGTAGATTATAAGTAATTGACTACACAGTTTCACTCAATAAAACCCTGCCCAACTACCAAGAGTTGGCTACATGAATCTTGTTTCGTCATCCTGCCCAATGAAGACTCAAGAGTCGTAATTTAATTCAAAGAAAAATAAGCTATGTTGAAACAAATCAATAGTAATGGAGGATAGGGGGTTGGGGCCACGGAAAATTATGACTCCATGCTATTTTAAGTAATTATCATCGAAATTAGCATTTTGGCCTTCCAAAATCTACATAATTTTACTTTGGCCCCTCCAAAATCTAAATAATTTTACCTTGGCCCTACCTTTGCAAAATTTATGAGACCACGACTGATTGATAAAATCTCCTCTTTTACATCCGCATGCCCCCAGCCTCCAAGGTGTGGCTGATACAAAGTTAAAATGGAAAATATTCACATATATTGAAATATTGAAATGCAAAAGCTGCAGCAGTGCAATATAAATAGGTAAAAGCCAAAACCCTAAAAGCCTAATTACAGAAGAAAGACTAACAACCCTTAATGAAACTCTAAAAGCCTAATTACAAAAGAAAGATTAAACTACCCTTAATGACAAACTAAATAACAAAGACATGAACATAACATATTTCACACACACCCTCAAACTGAGGATGCGAGTGTAGAGAGCATCAAAAGTTTGCTAAGAAGAAAACGAAATAGGGCAATAGTGTGTGTCTTCATAAGAAATCGGCCAACTGGAGAGATGATGGAACAAAAGGGAGAAGTGCCAACCAGAAAATGGTGCCAAACAAAATGACAATCGATGCCAATGTGCTTCTTACGCTCATGAAAAACCGAATATGGGCAATCTAAACAGCACTTTGATTGTCACAATACAATGGATTCGGTGAAGACAGAGAAACTCCCATATCAAAAAGAAGCCAGTGATGCCAAACCACTTTAGAAGTAGCATGAGCCATGGCATGCTACTCAGCTTCAACAGTGGAGCTAGCAACCACAGATTGTTTCTTACTTTTCCAAGAGATGAAAGAATCTCCAAGAAAAACATAGAAACCATACGCAGACTTGCAATTAGAGATATCACCAACCCAATCAGCATCAACATAGGCACGAAGAGTCAAATTTGAAGAGGAATACAATACGAAGCATTGCAATAAGGTACCCCAAATGTAGTGAAGAGCACGTAACAAGGCAGCCCAATGGGTGGAATGAGAAGCAAAAACAAATTGGCTGAGAATGTGCACAATATAAGAGAGATCCAAATGAGTCACACTAAGGTAAACAAGACAATTCAGATCATGACAGTAACCCAATTCGGATCATGACAAGCTTCTTTGTAGGACCTAGGCTCATAATAAGTATGCAAACAAGAAAGAAAAGAACAATAGAAGGAGAGAAACATGTATTGGTGAAACCAAGTTTCACCGGAGGATGACGATCTCGAGTTGGATAGCGAGATGCAAGAAGAGCGAGATCCAGAGAGACAATTGGAGAAGCAGTAAAGATAGATGAAGAGAAGCTTGGACATGTTTTGCGATGCTTGTAAACAAGAAGAACAGCAAGCGAAAGATCTGGAGCATTGGCAAGAGGCAAAGTGGACATCTTAAGGTCAAAAACAAACTCATCTTGGGGTACATCGGGAGGAAACGGTTCAATATAAACCAATTCATCCTTAGCAATGGGAGCAAGAGTGGAAGGAAGGGTGAAGGTAATTTCTCTAGAAAGGTGACATGTCGAGACACAAAGCTTTTTGGTCATAAGATCATACCAATGGTAACCCTTTTGATGAATCCTATATCCCAAGAAAACACACAAGGCACATCGGGAGTTAAGCTTAGAATGGTCACGTTTAGGAAGAGGAACAAAGCAGGTAGAACCAAATACATGAAGAGAATAATATGAATCTCACCAAAAAACTCTAATATGGAGAAGCACCAAATAGAAGAGGGGTAGACACGTGATTAAGAAGATAAGCAGCAATAAGCACAGATTCCGCTCAGAAGATGGAAAGGATAGAAGAAGGAATCGAGTAGTGTCAAGGAGATGACGATGTTTCCTTTCACAACCCGACCATTCTGTGCAGGAGTATCAGAACAAGATGATTGATGAATGGTACCATACGTAGCTAAGAACCTAGGAAACTAAGTAAAAATTTAATGGCGGTAGAGAATTGGATGTTAACCATGTAGTGAAAATTATAGTAAATCTTATAAAAATCAAATTTTCGGGTCATTAAGTAAACCCATGAAAATTGACCATAGACATCCACAAAGGAAACATAATACTAAGAATCACCCTTTGTAATACTAGGGAAAGTTCCCCACAAATTGGTATGTACCAATTGAAAAGGGGCTGAAAAAATACTGATCAAAAAAGGAAATAACATATGAAATCTTAACCAGAGTTTTAAAAGACTTTCCTGAGGCTCGTCTCGATGCTCGCCTCGCCTCGCCTTGAGGCTAAGGTAAAACGCATGAAGGCTTTGATTTTTAGGCATTACTCCCCAAAGGCTTGCGCATCACAGTTTGAGACATGCACCTTAAGTGCACTTTGTACGCTTTTTGCACATAAGCATGTGAGGAGTACGTACATGCAGAGGTTGCCTTGGGCTTTTATTAAACTTAGTCTATTAGATTGTTTAAACATAAAAAATAAAAATAAAAATCCCTTTTTGCAACTATATTCTACAGGGAAAATTAAGTAAATGATCAATCAAGAAAAAACACAGTTAATGGTCAAGTGAGAAGCTCAATCACTAAAGTCAAGAATATCAATTTCACTTTCAGTAAAGGAAAACTTCCTTTTATGTAGTAAAATGTTCAAGGCCATAAGGAGAAAAGTATTTACACCTTTATATTTAATTATTTTTTCTTTTTTTACTATTTTAAAATATTAAATTTATTCACTAAATATTAAAATTTGAAATTTGAAATTTGAAATTTGAAATGCTTTCGCCTCAATGCCCTGAAGCTTACGCCTCATCTCATGAGGGGTAAAATGCCTCGAGGTACGCATTCGCCTTTAGAAAATTTGATCTTGACACAAGCCCACTATTGGAAATTGGATCGGATATGACCCAATACATACCCCACGGCGCATCCACATGGGTTACTTGATAATTCCAATATATTTAAATAAAGATAAATGAAGAAGTATCATCAAGAGATAAGGTGATAGTTATTTACACCACATCTTATCTTACAGGAGAGAATCGCTATATAACAAGTTCTCTCTCTGTTTGTTCCTTCCAAGGTTACCATCACAATATCTTTGAATTTGGAGTGTGGCTAGTAAAAGAGAATCTAGTAGCCTCTTTGATTCACGAAGTATGCACGGAGACCTAGATGGCAAGAGAAGGCTTGTAATTCAAGGTTTTGAATCCAAATCTATGGGGTGATTTCTTTCACTAAAGGTAACCCAAATACCCAACTTTTATTAACACCCACTATCTTAGAAATGCCTTTTTTGATCATTAAGCTTGTACAACTCCAATATCTATCACTTGGCCACAAGTAACTCGACTAAACCTTTGTTAGAAACTATCGAGGAAGGCCTAATGCTGGCATTTAGGCAAAATATATATATATAGATTAGATCAAGTTTCAATAAAAGATTTGTAATATGCATTTAGTAAGCCAGCCTCTTTGCCCCAGTTAGCAACTCATTTGGAATAGAGCAAGTTGTTGACAGCTAAAATTTCATGTAAAAAGCTGGACAAGGACAACAAATCTACTGTTTTCCTATCCCCTTCTAGATGTTTTTTTTTTTTTTTTTTTTTAAATATTCATAGATTTCTGCTTTACTCACTAGTTTTCAGAGTTCAATCATATACATGTATGCATCTGGTTTGCTTTACAACCTCTGCCCACCTAGCTTGAGTTTCACTTACCTCCAAATCCAGGAAATATTACTCCTCATCGAAATCTAGGAGAAAATCAGTTAGGTTCTCTGAATCATTGATAGCTTCATCTAGAGACATGTTTTCCTTCTTAGCTTTACCCTGCATGTAAGAGAGGACAAAATACATGTAGTTCCTTGGCATGCATAAATTAATTTGGCAAGAACAAATATAAGAAGGATTTTTTTAATTGGTCCATAGAGCAAAGAGAATCTGCCATTTCTATCTGTAGTTTAGGAGGCATTAATGGTTGGAAAATATACTTAGCCAGACACAAAATTACATTTGTTTCAAATATTTTCATACAATCATGATTTTGATTCAGTGATATTGAGTAGACATAGATATTTTAGTGTAGTACAATGAAGTTTTTTCCTATTCTAACTTTCTTATATCCATAAATAGTTCTTTGCATCCATATGCCTGTACTATATGGTAATGTATGAACTACTGTTGACCATAATAAAAGGAAGGGACAAATACAACCAAAAAAAACCAAACCCAAGGTTTTAGCCTTATAACAAAATAAATCTCGAGTTTTTAATTTTGTTAATTTATACCCAAATCTTTTGATTTGTTTTCAATCTAAACCATTTGCCTATTTTTGTTAAGTAAACCAATGGAAAAATAGTATTTTAATCATTAAACTCAATGTAGATATACGCAAAATGTCTAAAATGCCCTTGTCACTAGTTTTATGACTAAAATACCAATTATTCCATTGATTTTACTTAACGGAAATAGGCAAATGGTTTAGATTCAAAACAAATCAGAAGTTTAGAGTTTAAATTGATAAAATTAAAAATTCAGGGTTTATTTTGTTACAAGGCTTAAACCATGGGGGTTTTTTTTTGCAATTTCCCCTGAAAAGAAAACTGCTTACAACAGAAAGCAATATCTGATTGGCTAGGAATGAATCACCTTTGACTTGCGAAGCTGGGGAGTACTTTTCAAGACACTCTAATTGCGTGTAATTTTCTCCTCTTCGTCAGCATCCTCAACCTCGCTATCTTCTACTTCATCCTATTGTCAAGAATATCAAAGAAGCATAAACTAAAAAACTAACTCCAGAGTATCGCAACAACATCCAAGAAGAATAAACTGAAAAATTAAGAGACAAAAATCAAAGCTAAGTAATTTGAAGGAGAGATGAGGTAATAAAACTCACATCATTTTCACCAATGTCAACAGCTTGTGCCATTGCTTCATCCATATCTGGCATCTGCTCAAAGATGGGAAAAAGAAAAGAAAATTTTGAAAAACAAGAAAAGGACTACTGATATATTAGAGGTTCCCTGCTCTAATTAGGTTGCACTTTGATCAAGTGAATCTACGGCTTGGTTATACTTCAAGTTAGAGATGAAATTTCTGGGGCACAAAGTTTACATGCTAAGAGTGCTTAGTGCAGACAAGGAAAACCAAGGTGTTTTTCAGTTAATAAATAATATGCCAACAGAAGTCTTTTGCTGTTGGACTATTAGTGTAGACAAGGAAATCCAAGATGTTTTCAACTAATAGAAAATATGTTAACAGCATAAGTTAGACTAAATGCATTAGTGTGAACAAAATACATTACACTAAAGTCAAAAATTAGTCAAAAGTTATAAGAAGGAAAGAAGTAAAAGCTTTTTAAGTATGATGAATATGTCACCATACTCCAGAACATAGGGTATGATGTGTTCATAATTCCCATTCCATTACCTCAAGTACTTCAGTCTTCTCCTTGGCCAAGATTTTCTCAAGCTCCTCTCTTGTGATTATTTTGCCATGCTGATCAGACAATTTGTGCCCACCATAAAGAAAAATATGTCAGAACTCAACCATTCAGGCAATTAAGTACTCATACTGCATTTATAAATTGTTTACTAAATGATATCTGACTTTTCCCATCAGGATTCAAATAGTTGTTGAGAGAGAGAGAGACATTTTTAGCATCCGGAATCACTCAATAAGTAGCACCATAGCAAACATAATCCAGCACAGACAGTGCTGATGTCTTTTATGTTGATATTGCTAAGACCATTCCTAATCTAGTTGAGTATCTCCATGCCATCCAATTAGAAGCTGCTAGTCCATTCTGGGTTGCTAAACTTATTTGATGGTGCTTATTTAGACGTGCTGAAAAAAATAAGTTAGTAGTTCGTTTGGTAAAGGTTACTACAAAAGTGCTGAAATGGGGACACATGAAATAGTGCTTCAAAAGTATTTTGCTAGAGACCAAGTTCGAAAGTAGGAATAATTTCATGTGAATACAATTGGGTCCCAAATCCATAATATACTAAGGCCAAGTTTGGTAAGTTGAAAAAAAGACAAAAAGTCAAAAAATTACTCAAAAAGTTAAAAAGTTATCACTATTCACCAAAAGTTAAAAATTATGGCTGCACAACTCCCAATATTAATTTTTCCCTGCACACTAATTTATACAATTTTTTAATACACATTTTTCCATAAAAAGTCAAAAAGTTAACCCAAACATTTGTATTTTTTTCCTCAATTTTTTAGTCCAAAAAGACAAAAAGTGCACTTATTTAGGACACCCCAAACAACCCCTAAGAAGCACCTAGAGTCGCTTGCCAAGAAAACTCGCTTTGTGCTTAATTTGATGTAGAAGCACCCTAATCAAATGCCGTTGATGCAAACCATAGAGAGAGCTCAAGAAAAAGTAAATATAAAGAACCCACAAAATTTGGAAGCTCATTGGTCTCAAATAAAAGCCAACTTGGGACTTGCATAGTTGAGTTTAGTATCAATAAGAGTCATATTTTTATGTTAAGTATAATGCCAAAAGTTTTTGTCGTGCTTTATTATGTTTCAAGAATTAAGGTATTTCGGTAACTTTCAGAATTTCTGGAAATGGGTTGTAAGGGCCACCCATGGGTCATGATATGGTTCAATTTATGTATTTGAGTTGTCATTTATTGGTCTTAGGTGTCAAAAGTCTTAGTTTCCAAATAGTAAGTAGAATCTCATAGGGAGAAGTAATTGTCCAATGTCTATATAAAATCATATAATGTTCCTATTAGAATAGAGAATATTTTCTGGATAATTTTGTTAAGCTTTTGAAGCTTTCTTTAATGAATTGTGTAATGCCCTAGGTGTAATGCCTAAGGCCCCTATGAGAGATTCCTAAAGTTTTCTTCTTCTCTCCTTCCTTCTTTCTTGAATTTCCGCACTTGAAAAACAAAGGGAGATTGCTATTAACCCCCACATAATTACTTAGGACCCCCTACATGTTCAATTTTTTTAAAATACAACTTTATCCTCAAATAAAATTATTGAAAAGAACAATACTTTTAATACGCACACCCACTGTTCCCACCATTCTAAAGCAACAACTAATTCATTGTTAAGCGCCCACTACAACACTCACCATCTTCAACACACAGCCATCTCACTTTTCTAATTCATCTTCTTATCTTCTTCACTCACAAACTATTGTTGCACGATTTACAACTCCATTTCGTAGCATAACTGAACAATAGATCATGAAATAATTAGCACAAAAGAGATAGGCCGAGTGGTACGTTTTTGGAACAAATCTCGTCTTTCGTTTATGTTCATGTTTTGTCCGGTGCTGAATCGTCGAACAAAATTAGATCGGTCGGCAGAGTGATTCCAAACAAAACTCTAATGCTCGGTTGTAGGTGTCCAAACGTCATATGATGGTTCGGTTAGTGGTTGCTGAACAGAGTTATTTGCTCAAATTCCCAACAACAATTTCTTCCAAAACTAAAGGACTGTTTGATATCATTTCCTTTTTTTGTGCTTTCAAAAATAAAAATAATAAGAAGCTTAACGAATGTTGTTAAGAAGTTTTTATCTTTTTTTTCAAATAAAACAATATAGAAAAAGAAAAGGCCAAATAGGCAATATAAATATGTATGGTAAACTCATAACTATTAAAAGCAATTTTGTGGAAAGAAAAAAAGTTGAAAGGAAAAAAATTTGTGATAAAGAAAAATTAGTCATATTTGTTCGGCTAAACAATACAAACTTGAGTTATTCATTCGGTTGAAGTTATCCAAACAGTACCCCTTTGTTTAGTTGGAGGTATCCAAACAGAAACAGTTTGCTCAGTAGTAAAGTACGAAATTGGTTGTCCAATGATAACATCAACACTCCCTTTTGCGAACCATTTTTCAGGAAGTGATCATTGAAACTCATGTTAAAAACAACAAAAAACTGTTTGAAACCCTAAACTAACTATATAAATACATTAAATTCACCAAAAGCAAGATTGTGAGAAGAATCTTGAGTTTGGGAAGGCAATGGCTTCCAACTTTAAACTGGGTGAATGGCTTCCAACTTTCTCAGCAAAGCTTTGGAAGACCCCAGTTCAAATAGGAGCAGTACACCTTCACCGATGATTATTGCAATTTTGGGGTGGATGGGTGTGCTTTTTGGGTGGGTGTTCAATGGTGTTGGTGTGCACAATGTCAGAGGGTTAGTCTTAGTCTTATGTGGGGTGCTCAAAGAAATTTTTCATAATTTCAAAATTGTTGGTACGGGTCCAAAGAAATGTGGGGTCCTAAGAAATTGTAGGGAAGCTAATAGCAGCACTACTTATGGGTCCTGTTCACACCACCCAAACATCCTTTGATCTTTCTCTTATTTAATTAAGCCCCAACCCTACTTCATTACTTAGATTTCTATTGGATATTAACTTTAACCGGCTACAAAAGCCTACAAAATTCCACTTTAAAAATCTTCAACTCACTGTCATACACCAATTTTGGTATCAGAGTTCAGCCATGATGTTTTCACCTAGTGGAAGATCCTATACAAGTGGATTGACTTGGGATGAGGATACGACACTTCTTAAAGAACTTCTTCTAAACAATTGTATACTCTGCAAGGTGATATGCATGTGATCGATTATGAAGATGCAAGGAATTATTTATCAATTCCAAAGTAGAAGAAAGTGAATGGATGACTATTCTTCGATTCAAAAGTAGGTTGAGATATGAAATAAATTTTAAAAAATACAAAAAAGAGAGATGTCTCATTTATATTTAGAAGATCTCGAGGATTTTATTAAAAAGGCTATTCCATTTGAGTAGCTTGTAAAATTTAGGGCAAATCTACAATTTTCGAGCCTAAACATAATGATGAATTGCCAACACAGCATGCAAAGATGGCCCAACAAGCAGCCAGAACAAGCTCCAAAAGAAAAAGGCAAAGTGCCACAAAAGGAAGCTTAAAAGACAGAACAAGATGTTGATGAATCATAACAACTTGTTGGAAACCTGGAACAACCAGAGTAAGTAGTAAATCAAGAAAAACAAGCTCAAGAGTCAAAACAGTATGAAATGAATTTCAGTATGGCAGAAACACAAGTTAACATGTCACTCAAGAAGGGGCTAGAGTCTAAATTAAAAAGTTGATTATATGTGGCTAGCAACCAGATGCTGCCCCTGAGCTTAATGTGCCTTTTGAGGCATCTAGGTTGTTGTCTGTGGTCTCCAATGTAGTGCCAATAAAGTTGGCTAACAAGTAAACTTTTGCCCATGGTGACCAACAAGCAGCAAATTTGTTTTGAGATCTCAATTGCCTAATTATGTGAATTCAAGTAAGCATAGAAAATCTAAAACATTGCCAGCTCCTATTATTTGTGATGAACCGAAAGTTGAAGGACAAGAACATGTTGCCATGAAAGAACAGGGAAACAAGATGATTTTCCTTGAGAGTATTTCAAAAGAGCTTTTGTAGAATACACTGTTGCATTAGAGGACGGTATGATGGGTGGCCATACTACTATCAATTTGAGGGATTATCCGCTGCACTGATTGCTTCAACCATTTATTTTGTTATTCTTCACAAGTTCAATGATACAATCATGGGGTTCAAACAACTTTCTTACTATCTCAAATGTAGAAGAAAATGCAATATCAACTTTAAGCTTTTGATACCAAACCATGGATGCAAACACGAAGAATTCTTATATTTCAACACTTCTAAATAAGAAGTTTTCTCCACCCAGGCGAGAATGATGCGAACCATTAAGAGCTCAAGAAAAAGAAAATACAAAGTTAGCAAATTTTGGAAACTCGATGGTTTTAAATTGGGGCCCACTTGGGACTCGCAAAACAAATATTAGTGCCAATAAAATTCTTATTATGACTAGTTTTACATTTGGTATAATATCAAAAACTCTAGTTGTGTTTTAATATGTTCCAAGAGTTGAGGGTATTTTGGTAATTTTAGAATTTCTAGACATGGGTCGTAGGGGCCACCCATGGGTAGGGGTCCCCAAATGGCCCACGGACAAAAAAACCGATATTACCCAATCCAACCAACCCATTCAATGCCTCATTCCAGCCCACTTGAGTGCCCAACCCGTCCCAACTCATAAAAGATGATTTAGGGCATTGGACAAAGGCTTGTAACCCGAACCTATCCATAAACCCGGCTAGTAAGAGTCCGCATGGGTAAATCCAATGTATAGTTTTTTTTTTTTTTTGGTTCCCATGTTTAAAAATTTTTTTTTTTTTTTTTTTTTTCATTCCACTTTTTTTCCCTCCACTTGTAGGTATCATATGTACTGTATAATTTTTTTATTATATGAGATGATGTAAAAAAGTTTTTAAAAATTTCAAAATACTTGAATTATGTTTGAAAGTAAACAAAAAAAATAACTAATGAAAATATTAAAAATATGTGAATGAAAAATGTGTAGAACTTAATAATATAAGTGTAATGAAAAATGTGTAGCCTGGTTCAGTTAGATTTTGGCCCGTAAGATTTGGGCTTATGTATGGGACGTGGTTTTAGTTTTTTAAATAGCCTTGGCCCGTACCAACCCGTTGACTGGTCAAATCAGATTTTATGCATTATTGTAGATTGTAAAGTATTATTGTAGTTTTTTAAGCTTGTAAATGTAAATTACAAGGTCGTTAAAATCCGATCCTATCCGATCCAATAATATAAGCTTTATTGTAAATTTTATGTTTGTTGTCTAAATACCAATTTATGTGGTCAAAATAAATAATAAAAATTAAGTAGAATTGGATCAAATAGACTAAGAAAAAAAAATTAGCAAACAAACATTCAAATATTGCGATAATTTAAGAAAATTAACTAGTCGGAAAAACAAGCTTAGCTTTAGCGAAGTCTAAGGAAGGTAAGATAATTGCAACTTTATCCCAATTTTTGGAGAAATTATTTTTGTGACTCGAATCCGCTCCACCAAGGATGCTAACGACAAACCTTATCATTCGGTTAAGCTGCTCTTTTGAGTTCTTAATCTATTTTCATATCCAACTTTGTTAAATATTTTTTCTTCACTTTTTATGCATTATTGTAGATTGTAAAGTATTTTGTTATAGAATTCTACTTTTTCACCACCTTTTTTGATGAAATACAAAATTTTTACCATCGAGTTTTCTATTGTATAATATTATATGTACATTTTACATGGAGTATTGTATTTTTCACAATATCTTCACTTCTTTTTAATAAAATATAGGCTCATTTTGTGTATACTATTTAAGAAATATTTATTTAAATTAAATTATTATGTAATTTGTCTTTTTCGGTAGGATCTTACGATCCTCGATCCGATTCTATGATTCGATCCTATAAACACCTCTGACGATCCAACGTAAGATCCCGATTTTAACAACCTTGCTTCCAACTAGGAAGTAAAATCTTACTAGAAGAAGTAATTGTCCAATGTCTATATAAAATCATATAATGCTTACAATTAATCAAAGAATTTGTTTTGGAGAATTTTGTGAAGCATTTGAAGCTTTCTTTTACAGATTGTCTGATGTAATTAATCCCTAGATGTGATGGCCTTTTTATGACTGATTTCTAAAATTATCTTCTTCTTCTTGTTCTCTCTTTCTTGAATTTATGCACTATACAAAGAAAAAACACTCTTCAAGAGTACCCTTCCTTTTTTCTTTTTCTTTTTCTTTTTCTTTTTTTTTTTTTTTTGGCATAAATATCTTCAACGTTCTTCTTCAGCGCAATCTCAATGGACTTTTTTTTTTTTTTTTTCTTTTTTTTTTTTTTTTTTTTTTTTTTTTTCATAAATCTCTTCAAGAGGACTGTACACAACACCTACAAAGCCTTTGATTTGTTCTTTTTTTTTAAAAAAAATAATAATAATAAATAAATAAATAATTAAATCCTAACCCCATTTCATTGCTTATAATATTAGAAACCCTAAATTTTCCATTGGACATTAACTTTAAATAGCTACAAAAGCCTACAAAATTCAGCTTCAAAATTCTTCAATGTGCTGACCTACATCAGCCCCATTGGGTGCTTTTGTTCAAGCACCCACTAGAACAACCCTAAATGGGGCCTAAGTTGAAGACTATAAGAGCCAAGCTGCTTTAGCCAAATTCTTTGGTGAACAGCATTTTGCAACTGTAGATTTATGATAGTGTTGTGTACTACTATCACGTAATAAAGGTGGTCAGGTCCGACCCCAGAAATCCTCATGTTTACTTATGATATATCTCACCGAATGGAAACCAAGTTGGTAAATTGAATTTATTTGGATCTATGTTACTTGGAACGTGAATTGTTCCAGTACATGGAACAAAAACATGGTACACCACATGCTTTAAAATGTGGTACAATAGGAGGAGACTAGTATAAATTACACTATAAGAATTTAAAATCCTTTTAGGGTGATTTTCTTTTAACAATTAAATATTTAATCAAATGTAGTTTTTTTTTAATCATGTAGCAACACATTTCTACAAGCATTATGACCCATTTTTATGTTTTGTCCTGTCAAACTTTACTCACCTTAGATTTTTGTTCATTATATTTGATTTTTTTCTCTAAGAAAACCTTTAGAAAATATATCGGAAAAAGCTTTTTGCATTACTTCAAATTAGTAAATTTATCATTTTGAAACGTAAGTGCACCGTGTTTCTAAATGTACGTTCAAAAACATAATTCACTAAGGTATTAGCATTTCCCAACATTGATTTGGATTTCATTTGAGTTATGTTCGTGGATCTGATAAACCTAAACTAAACCTATTTTTAACCATAAATATTATGTCCACCGAGTTCCATTTTTAATATACATCAAAGGAGTGAATTTCTTGATTGGTTGAGCAAGGTAAATTGGGATTAAGTTGACCCCAATTAATGGATTAAGGTTGGTTCATAGTTTGAGACCTCAATAATATGGGAAACATTCAGGTTCAATAGCTTTGATCTTAACCCAAACTGAAGTAACCATTACCAACTCTATGTTGTTGTGGATTCTGAGAATACAAGACTGGACAAGGTATATGGATGGAGATTTTGGGCCTAAGAAGAGACTTGAGAAACCATAATATTAGAAACTTTGTTCGGGTTACATAAGATGGAAATTTTAAATTCCCTTAACAGTTCAGGTATTAACATTCGAAGGCTGATGAACTTACAGGTGAGTTATCTTCAAACCTTTAAAATAATGAAAATGAGGACTTAGGGGCTCATCTCTGTGGCGGCTGGAAAGGAAATTTTTCTTCAGACCCCAAGAATTAGGTTTCAAGATTTAACTTCTTTTGTTCAGATTCAGGATAGATGAAAGTTTATGGCTTTGTATGTGTCCATGTGTATAATTATTAGAATGAGCATGAATTAAAAGCTGCATTTTCAATCTTATATTGGAGAATAGGGTGTAATTACAACACTTTTTACAAATCAGAGGATTTAATTTGAATGCATTCCTTTGAATTCCCCAGGCACTTTAATATTTACCCAAGCAGAGTCTAGAAAGAACACATCATTAGAAACTCAGAGCACCATCATATGATTTCTCTTCACACACAGTCAAGATTGATACTTGAATGAGCCCCAAGTCAGAGATCCAAGCCCAGAATGAAACAATCATGTTGATGGGATAACTTTATCTTAAGATTAAGAAGGGAAGCAATCAAGAATGAAGTATGAATAAAATCAAAAAGGAACTGCTGTAATTGAATAGTGGTAGGATATTCCAATTATCATGCAGTCCCAGTTTCGTCTTGGAAGATGCATAGCTCACACTTAAGAATTGTGAGTACAAAGATGACAATTTCACCTGGTTTCCCAGGTATCCAACCCCCATGGGAAGGGTATACTATGGAAAACCTTCAAATGGTTTAGGGATGGGTATTGAGAAATGAGTGCAAACATGAACCATGTTCAAGGTAGGGTCAGATTAGGAGACCCTGCATTGGTGCACCTTGCTTATGTAATTTTTGTTAGGCATACAAAGAGTTCTATTACCACATTGAAAATATAATTGAGGGATCTTGCCTTCTAGAAAGCAATAACTTCTAGAAAAGGTCAAATTAGGTTTTCTATTTTGAAAATTTGAAGCAATACTTAATAATTAATTAGTAAAGTGTATCTTAATACACATGTAGGTTTTCCAGATTTTCTACTTTAGTTATGAATTTTAAAACCTATGGGGTGGGTAACCACCAAGCAAACCAACTTTCCACCTTTCCTCCTTTCCTCCTTTCCTCCTTTCCTTACCCCCAACACAATGGGGTTGGGACAGATACGGGAAGGGGTACTTCAGTTGGGTCCTGGTTCAGGAAGTCAGTGCCATCCCTAGGAAAGTCTTTTTTTCTTTTCCTTTTGTTTTTTATAGTACTCAAGTGTGATGAATCATGAAGGTGCTATGCAGGCACACACACTCATGGGAATACACGTATAAGATGATAAAATTACTTTCCAGTCAAGGAACATAGGTTCCGTTATGTTCTGGTTTCACCTCTTATTTTGTATTTTTCTCTTCAAGAGATTGATATAAAAAGTTACTCGCATGATGAAGCATAATCACTTAGACCTGAAATGAACTTCTGAATAAATTACTGAAATTTCCAAATAGAGGAGTTACTAGAGCCAACCTCTTTCAAATAATCCAGCATATTGGGTGTTGGTTCATGAAAATCTGGACCCCTGAAATCAATCACCTCATTTGGATCTTGAATGTAGTTCACTGTTGGGTAAACTGGATCTCCACCCCATACTGCAAAAACCAACACATAAGTAAGTACCAGATCCAGAAAAAGGGTCAAGGCAGAGAAGGAAGAGATCCAAATATAAATCATTTTCTTTTCTTTTCTCATCTCTGTAATAAAAAAAAAAAATGAATTAACAAACAGAACTGCAAAATGACAAACACAGTAAGTCAAGTGAATGCTGGATGTCATTGCAAGACTAATGCAAAGAAAACTAAATAAAGCATGGACTCAAAATTTATAGCCCGTACAGAAACCAGTTGAGGAAAATGTAATGTGAGAAAGGGAAGCAAGAATCCACCGGATGTTTCAACAGGGTCTTAGGTTCAGGAATCTCAAAATCTGGTCCAGTCTGATTCAGAAGCGACTCCTTTTAAATTGTCCAAGTGACAAAAAACTTAAATAAGAACTGTTTCATGCTATCAAAATTTATGTATTGATTCCCTCATGCATATGAGTGGTTAAAATCTTCAAATCAAAAACATAACCAAAGACAGAATGAAAGAGAATTAAGTTTTTTTTATTACAACTAGCCATCCTCACCATGGCAATAGTCAAAACACATTAAAATTTAAAAGCACAATAACTTTTGTAACTGATTGACATTTTCATACTTGAGATATAGTGTTTCAAGATCAACCAATCCCTTTACTATATCACATAGTTTCAGTTTGAAACTACTAGAATTCTCAATAATTTAATTTATAATCATAAAAACAAAAATATTAGAAAACAACTTTACAGCCCCAAATAATAACTTTATTAAAGAAAAATATTGAAATTTCAAAAAGCCCTAGATATTTACATTATGGTTGCGTGGGACAAAATGATGATTCATGGAAAGCCAATAATAGTATTAATGATTTAAGTGGAAATGAGATATGCAGTTTGTCTCTTTTATGAGAGAGATTGCAACCATTTTCCTCAATATCTCCTTGTTTTGGATATGTTTTTTTTACAAGAGTGAAGTTCAGTCCGTGAGAAGCCCAACTTCCCTTTAGTGCAAAAATATAACTACATTGAACCTTCAAACTTGTTTGACTTAAAACACAGGCCCCAGTCAGCTGAACCATATTTTAGCTACTAAATCTGGTTATCATCTTTGCCAAATAGTCTTCTGTTTTTTTTTTAAGTTTTCCAAACAGCTCTTATGCTTGTCAAATATAAGAAAGAACATAAATAGGGAAAAAGTAACAAACATGTGATGCATGAGTCCTCAGGCGTCACAGACACATGAGCATGCTCAAGCAAGTTTAGATATTCATTTATAGAGATGGCAGAAGTTTAAGGAATCAATTAAAATACTTAACAAAGTGGCAGATATATTATGCCCAGGTGCCAGGACTCTTCATTAGTTGAAGATAACAACTTAAAATAGAAAGGGAAAAAAATAGAACTTATAAATGTGTAAAAACTAGATTAGATAGACAAAACAATATAGATAAAAATCAAAGAAATAGAAACAACAAACAAACTTAATAGCTTCAAAATAGATACTTTGCTTAATTTGATCCTCCCTCATTCGCATCGCCAAAGGATCTCTTTGAATACGAACATCAGTCCCCATCATTATGCGATATTCACGATCAGTTTGATGTGTAAACATTTCAATGAGTTGGGTGTTCTCATCTTCACCAGTCTCTTCAAAATGTTTCTGAACAGCTTCACGTGAAGTGTCCCTCTTCCAATCTTTAACCCATTCTGAGTAGTATGCTATTGGACCTATTCTTTCCAGTCTCTCTTGTTCAGCCTGTAGCCTGCAGAAACTAACAATTACTCCAGTTTTTCCTTTTCAACACTAAAACACTAGAGAGTGGCTAAAAGGCTAATCAGTAGTAAAAGACAGTAGCAGTTCTCATTTGATTTTGAAGACCTATTGTGTCAAACATTATAGTTTTGACATATATTTTGATGAATCATCAGATTAAAAAAAAAAAAAAAAACAGAAGACCAATACTGATCAAATGCCTGATGCTAATAAGTGTGGTCTAGAAACAGACCTAACCTTTGACAATATTTATGACAAGTGTTGTGTCAGATCCAAACTTGAGTTCTCAAGATTGATAGCTTGAGCTTTTAGCAATGTATGAGTCAATTGCCCCTGGTGAGTTGTTGGATAAAATACTCAATAATGGTGATCATGGCCCTAGACATTAAAACATACATGTCTCGAGAGTTAAAACTCACCAAGGTGTTGTTTCATAAAACTGAAATTTGAAAATTGAAAATTAAGTACTAAAAACTCAATGTAAATTTTTTAATTTGAAAAGTTCTTTGGTATTTACAAAAATTTAAGCGCTTAATTTAACCAAATGGTTTGATATGTAAAAGATGTTGTAATTTGAAATTTATAATTTTTTAATTTCTCTCTTTATACTCTTTATGTTTGTGGTGGTGGGCTAGTTAGCCACGTGGAGATGGTAGTGTGGTGGTGGTGTGGTGGAGTGTGGGTGGTAGCAGCAACAATGACAATTGTGTGGTGGTAAGATAATGGTGGCAACGACAGTAGTGGATGTGACATGGCGGTTGTGATGGTAGGGTGGTGGTGGTGGTGGTGGTTGTGTGAGTTAGGGTCTATGATGTACCGACGCTTCAAAACAAGTGTTGTATCCGTGTGTTAGACACACGGACATGGAGGCGATAGATATCAGTTGTAATTTGAAATTTATAATTTTTTTAATTTCTATCTTTATTATCTTTATGTTTGTGGTGGTGGACTAGTCAGCCACATGGAGATGGTAGTGTGGCGCTGGTGTGATGGAGTGTGGGTGGTATCAGCAACGATAACAGTTGTATGATGGTAAGATAATGGTGGCAATGACAGTAGTGGTTGTGGCATAGCGGTTGTGATGGTAGGTTGGTGGTGATGGTTGTGTTAGTTAGGGTCTATGAAGCACCGACGCTTTAAAACAAATGTCATGTTCGTGTCAGACACACGGCCATAGCAGGGAAACATATGGTACATGCTGTAAGTGTCTGAATATTTCTGTATATTCGAATGATTCGATGATAAAAAGATTACATCACTTATATCACTTATATAGAACTCTAATCCCCAAGGCTAAAAAGGAAATACAAATTACACAGAATATTTACACAATCACAATCACAATCATTATCATTCTAATTTCCTAAAATACAATATAGGCAATATAGGCAATATATTCTCGCACCCCTACTCAAACTCGAGGTGTTTTAGTAGAAAACACTGAGAGTTTGTCAAGAAAAACCGAAACCGAGCAATGGTATGAATCTTGGTAAAGAAGTCAGCAAGTTGCGGAGCCGAAGTGACAAAAAGAAACGAGATAGAGCCAGACTGCAAATGTTGACGGACGAAGTGACAATCAATCTCAATATACTTCGTCCACTCATGGAAGACAGTGTTATGAGCAATCTGAATAGCACTTCGGTTATCATAATAGAAACAGGTCGGAAAGGACTGAGGAACGCCCAACTCAGATAAGAGACTATGAAGCCAAACAATCTCAGCAATACCATGAGCCATAGCACGATACTCAATTTCGGCAGTAGAATGGGCAACAACAGTATGTTTCTTGCTTTTCCAAGAAATCAAAGAATCATCAAGAAATTTACAAAAACCAGAAATAGACTTGCGATCATTAACATCACCAACCCAATCAGCATTAGCATAGGCTACCAAGTCCAAGGAAGAAGTAGAAGATAACAGCAAGTCCTGAAAGATAATACTGTAAACATAGCGAAGAATCTGAATCAAAGCAGCCCAATGTGTAGAGCAAGGAGCAAAAACGAATTGACTAACCACATGAATAGCATAGGCAAGATAAGAGCAAGTAACTGTCATATAGACTAAGCAACCCACAAACTTGGAATATAAAATAGGATCATCCAGAGGGACCCTATCAATAGTGTTGAGCTTCACATTAAGCTCAATGGGGATATCAAAAATCTTAGTGTCAGTAAGACTAGCACGGTGAATAATCTCATTGCCATACTTGGCCTAAGATAGAAAGTAGCCCTTAAGAGAAGAAACTACCTCAATACTAAAAAAACACCGCAAGGGCCTAGATCCTTCATTTTGAAGGTGCGGAAGAGATGCTGGTTAACCTCAGAGATGGCAGAAGAGTCAGAATCAGTAATGATCATATTATCCACATACAATAAGAGGGCAACAAAACCAGCAAAGGTGCAGAGGAGAAACAAGGAAGAGTCTTGGGCACAAGGATGAAACCTAAGCTCAATAACAGCTGTCTGAAAGCGATCATACCCGAAGCTGACAAATCTATCCAGAGGAATGAGGAAGGCTAAAAGGAGGACACGTGAACCTCCTCTGTTAGATGACCATTAACAAAAGCATTCTTAACATCCATCTGATAAAGAAGCCAATGACAAACAGCATCGACAGAGATCAAAGTGCGGACAGTAGTCATCTTGGCAACAAGGGCAAAGGTCTGTTCATAATCAATATCATATTCCTGGGAGAAACCTTTAGTAGCCAAGCAAGTTTTGTAGCGCTCGAGAGAACCATCAGAACGAGTTTTGATTTTATAAACCCATTTGCAACCAACCAAATTCTTGCCAGCATGCAAAGGAACTAGCTCCCAAGTAATAGTCTTCTGCAAGGCAGATAACTCATCCTCCATAGCCTGAATCTAATTAGGATCCTGACAGGTCTCTTTGCAAGACAGGGGTTCTGAAAAAGGTGAATAGCAGACAAAAACGTGCAGTATGAAGGGGAAAAACATGTGTTAGCAAAACCACATTTAACTACTTGTTTACAGTTGCGAAGGGGATACTTACGGTGGGCAAGATCAAAGTCGTCAGAAGTAGGAGCAGCAACAGGGGCAGAGACAACCAGTGGAAGGAGATCCTTGCAACGGGAATAGACTAACAATGGAGGAGAAGAAGGAGCAATAGGGGGTGCAAGAGAAGAAAAAGGAACAGACTCGTGAGGATCAATAGAGAGGTACTCAACCGAAGGGGTTGTAGGAGGAGAAGAAGGAATAAGCTCGTGAGGAACAGTAGAGATGTACTCATTAAGAAGGACCTCAGAGGGAAATGAATCAATGTGAACCAAGTCCTCTTTGGAAACCGGAGTAATGATAGGAGGAAGATGAAAATAAGACAAACGTTCGAGAAAGGCAACATAACGGGAGACATAAAGGCAACGAGAAACAAGGTTGTAACAGTAATACCCTTTTTGAGTAAGACTATAACCTAAAAAGACACGCAGGACAGACCGGGTACTAAGTTTAGTCCTATCTTTGCAGGGAAGAAGCACAAAACAAGCAGACCCAAAAACACAGAGGAGAAAATAATTGGGAAATTGAGAAAACAGAGCCTCATAAGGAGACCGACTAGAGAGGAGTGTGGGCATACGATTAAGAAACAAACGTTCGAGAAAGGCAACATAACGGGAGACATAAAGGCAACGAGAAACAAGGTTGTAACAGCAATACCCTTTTTGAGTAAGACTATAACCTAAAAAGACACGCAGGACAGACCGGGTACTAAGTTTAGTCCTATCTTTGCAGGGAAGAAGCACAAAACAAGCAAACCCAAAAACACAGAGGAGAGAATAATTGGGAAGTTGAGAAAACAGAGCCTCATAAGGAGACCGACTAGAGAGAAGGAGAGTGGGCATACGATTAAGAAGAAAAAACAGCAGTAAGAACTGCTTCTCCCCAAAACGGAGCTGGAATAGCGGCAAAGAGAAGACGAGACCTAGCAGTTTCAAGGAGATGACGGTATTTACACTCAGCTCAACCATTTTGAACGGGTGTATCAGTACAAGACGTTTGATGAATGGTACCTTAGGTGGCCAAATACTCACAAAACTCAGTTTTAAAATATTCCCCACCCAAGTCAGAGCGCAACATTTTAATAGTAGAGCCAAACTATGTAGTGACCATAGACTGAAAAGTACGGTATATCAGGTAAAAGTCAGATTTATAAGTCCTAAAATAAACCCAAGTATAGCAAATGCAATCATCAACAAAAGAAACATAGTATGCAGAACCCCTTTTAGTAAGAACAAAAAAAAGTCCCCAGACATTAGTATGTACAAGAAAAAATGGGGCAATAAAAATAGAAGTACTTTTATTAAATGGTAATGCTGTCATTTTGGAAAGTTTACACCCTCGACATTTGGTAATTTGAGTAGGAAAAAGTTTGCCTAACAATCCTGACTGAGCTAACAACCGTAAACAGTCAACAAACAAATCACCTAATTTAGAATGCCACAAATAAAAAAGACTCGAATGAGAATCTAACTGAAAAAATGAAAAAGCAACTGGAAAGGTGGACAAAGAGAATTGCAAACTTTCCACCACATAGAGGTCTCCAACTCTACGACCGATCCCAATCTGCTTGTTGAACTGTCGATCCCACACACAACAAACAGAAGAAGAAAAGATAACATCATAATCGGAAATATCAAGCTGACTAATAAAGAGTAAACTAACAGATAATTGAGGAACATAAAAGGCAGATGGTATAGTGACACCGATAGGAGACATAGTAAAGCGTAAAACAGACCCAACAAATAAGACAGACATACCAGACCCATTAGCAATAGTAACAGTAATAGGAAAGGGAGGGGAAATGACAGTTATGAAATAAGGAGAGATAAGGAGTCATGATGAAAAGCACCAGAGTTAAAGATCCACACTAAAGGAAAAATACCTAACGAAGAGCCAAGCAAACCTGAATGAAAAGAGGTGAAAGCGGAAGCAGATGAGGGTGGTTGGGAGGTAGACAAGATATGCTGAAACTAAGCAATTTGAGCACTCAAGGTAGCCAAGTCAGGATCTAGAGTCGGAATAGATGCAATATAAGCGGCTAGAGGCCGAACGATACTCTGAGTATAAGCTAGAAACTGCGACTGAGACTGCTGAGAAGACACACGTCCCTTCTTGGGACAGTTGTACTTAAAATGGCCCCTCTGATGACAGAAAGCATACTCATCTGAAGTTAAGGGCCCTTTCTTGGGTTTTGTAGTGGCCTGAAGTTAAAGAGGTGGAGTCGATAGCAGTGAGGGTTGGGCAGGAGCCAAGAAGACAGATGGAGATAGAGTCTGACTGGCCGTCTTAAGACGAGTTTCCTTGGAGAGGAGTTCATGAACAATAGCATCCACAAAAGGAAGAAGAGACCGGTGAAGGATGCCACCACGGATAGTCTCATACTGAGGAGAGAGAGCCATTAAGAACTGCACTAAACGGCCCTCCTCCCGAAATTGAATACAGGCATCTAATACCTTAAGACCAAACAGTTCCATGACAGCAAGTTGATCCCAAAGTCCTGTCATCTTAATGTAGAAATCCTAAATAGACCGATCTCGTTAACAAGCACTCTGAATAGTTGTTTCCAACTCATACCATTTGGCAAAGTTGGACTGCTTATAAACCCCTTGTAAATAGTCCTATACCTCCTTAGTAATATTGTATTTAGAGAACATCATCCCAATACGATCATCTACAGAATTATTAAACCAAGTCAGACCTTGGGCATTATCACAATCCCAAGTGTCACAAGCAGCCAATATTCATCCTTTTAGGAATTTGATGGACGAGAAACAAAACCAGAAACATATCCTCATTTTTTTTTGACCAAGCAAAAACAATTTCATAACACTGGACCAATAAACATAATTAGCTCTAGTAAGTTTGCAAGTGATGGAGTGAATCTTATCATCTAACATAGTGACAATATGTAAATAAAAACTATAAGGGGCCAAAATGAAAAATATAATAACCAGAGGAGGTCAAAATATAATACCAAGATGTTTTACCCTAGCACCCACAAATATTAGAATTTGAATGAATAATAGGTAACATAAACCAGAGTTTGAAGAAAACCCAAGTCAGAGAAAAGAGAGAGTCTAAAGCCCAAGCCCAAGAGACGGCAGACAGAGATCACGAGAGAGAGACACTTCGCGAGATCACAGACTAGAGATGGAGCCTTCGCAAGATAGAGAGAGAGGCTTTGCGACCACGAACGCAAGTTGAGAGAGACAGAGAGAGAAGTCTCGATTCTGATGGTGACAAACCAGACAAACGAGAGAGGGCTAATACGAACCAGAGAAGTCGCGAGTTAGCGCTAATGATGATCACGAACCAGAAGAACCAAAGATGGGTCAAGACAAATGACCCCTCGACCAGAGAAAACGAACCACGACGGCAACAATCGAAGCACCTAGGGTTTCTAATTGAGCTATGATACCATGTAAGTTTCTGAATATTTATGTATATCCGAATGATTCAATGATATAAAGATTACATCACTTATATAGAACTCTAATCCCTAAAACTAAAAAACGAAATACGAATATCACAGAATATTTACACAATCACAACCATTCTAATTTCCTAAAATATAATATATGCAATATAGGCAATATATTCTCACACACGCCACATGGCGTGTCCCCTTAATAATTTACTTTTAGGAGGCACGCCAGGGACACTTTGGGGACACACTAAAGACATGTCAACTTGTCTTTTTTTCCCATTTTCTCTAGTATTTTTGATGAATGTTGGATATTGAGTGTTTATTATTTTTTTCTTAGATTTAAATACTTAATAGATCATCCATAAAAAAATATATAAACTGTAAATGTTAATTTAGAAATGTTCTTTTTTTTTTTTTTTAATATAGCATTAGAGTTAGTTTTTGTTAATATTGATTATTTGTTGATGTAATATTAATCTAGATAGCAAATAAAAATATATTAAAACATATTTTATTAGCGTGTCCCGCCGTGCCCGTGTCACAATTTTTTTGAAATCACCGTGTCCCGTGTCCGCATCCGTGTACATATATGTGTCTGTGCTTCTTAGGGTAGGGTAGAGTTGGTGAAGGTGGTGGTGGTAATGGAGTGATAGTCGTAGTAGAGGTTGTGTGGTGATGGTGGCAACAGTGATGATGTGATGGTGGAAATAGAGAGGTGGTGGCAACGATGGTAGTAATAATGAAGTGACAATGGTGGTGGCAATTGCGATGGTATAGTGGTGATGGTGGCAGTAGTGGCAGTTGTGTTGGTGGTGATACGGTGTGGTAATTATGACGATAGTGGTGGTGGTGGTGATGGTGGTAGTGGAGTGATGGTGGTGACGGTTGTACTATAGTGTTGATGTTGGTGGTAGTGGCGGTTGTGTTGGTGGTGCTATGGTGTGGTAATTATGGCGAGAGTGGTGGTGTGATGATGGTGGCAGTGGAGTGATGGTGGTGGTGGTGGTGATGATGATAGTCGTAGTGGTGGTGGCGGTAATAATAGTGGTGGCATTGGTGGGGTGATGGCCGTACACCTCAACAAAGACTTAATAGAGATTAAAAATTCAGCACTCAATGAATTGTACATAACCTCAGCTCTTGATACCCTTCTTCATGGCTGCATGCTGATGCATCAGTTTACATGCCCAGTATGCATAATAAATGAATTGTACATCTTCAATGCTAAGTAATTTAATTAAACAATTACGAGCATAAGTAACAAAGATGGCAGTACAATAACATGCCAAAACATGCAGTAATAATCCATTCAGATCATTTATACCTTTCCTTTTTATAAATATGCCGTCTAGATCTGTAGAGAGAAGTCTCAGTCAATGTTGGATGCTCACCATAAAGCTTTATTTGCCCAGTCTCTGCCATAGCTTTAAGAAACACCTGATAAAGATAAAACAGAAATTCCAGATCAATGGAGCAAGTTTTTGAGTAACACTAGGAGATTACTTTGTCATTTTGTGTGAATAAAAAATGCCCATGCCCTGGATGTACACACAACTAAGGAATGCAGTAGACAAGATTTTTCAGCCAAACCCAACGCAAGCCACGCAGCATTATTGTGTAACATGAAAACTTAACCAGGCAGGTGGAAAATACAGAGAAGAAGAATCACCACAAAATGGTCCCAACAAGGTGATCAGCTTGCCAGGAAATCAACAAGATTGGATATTCTATCATGCAGCTTAAACTTCTTCTATTTACTTATATAGAGTCAAAGCGCGACACTGACAACATTTTTCCTATAGATCCCTTGAATGGGGCCATCAATTGTTAGTTCACAATTGCACACACACATAGAACTCACTAACTGCTTAGTTAAGATCCTCTACATTCAGGGTAGATGGTAAAAAGATTAACATCAGCAGCTGACTATATGCATCGAGTTTCCATTGGTACCATTTAAAGATTGAGACTCACCAAAAATATGCCTAGTCAGAATTTTCCACCTATGAGTCTAACTCGAATGATTTCGTCATCAACACAATGGTATAAATTGTTTTCATTCATAAGGTCCAAGGATCAGCTTAAAAACCAAGAATTTACATAAATACAAGCATCAGTTGAGAAGCACCACTATAGATGCAAAACACATATGATACAATATGCAGTGGCAGATGCAGGAATTGTACTTAGGAGGGGCCAACTTACATAATTCGAAAAAACGATAACAAATTCTTATTAAATCGTGCATAAGGAGTCAAATTATATATATAATTACAATAATTGATACAAAATTCTAATTATTTTACTTAATGAAACTTGATGTCACATTATAAACTAAAGGTTGGTTTAGGAAGTAGTTTTTTTTGGTGGCTTTTAGGTTTTTGGATAAAATAGGTGAAAAAGATTGAACTGTTCAGAGAATGACTTTTTGTCTCTTTCTGGATCAACATGTAAAAAATAAAGAGAATGGAAAGAAATCTTTGACCTTTTTGTATGGCTTTTAGAATTTTTGACATTTTAATTTATTTTTATTTTTATTTTTGGGTAATTTTTTGATTTTTTGGTTATATTAGCCAGTTGTCAAAAAGCACATCCTAAATTTTCATAATTGCTTCTATAAAAAAGCTGATAAGTGGTGAAGATACTTCTGTTAATTGCAAATATTTAAAAAATAAAAAATAAATAAAAACCACTAAGATAGTTTTCAATGCATTGGAATGAAACTGAAACAAAATGATAATTCTATTAAAATATTCATTTTCACGTTTGGCTTATTAAAATAATAAAGAAAAATATATTAGAAATAAAATTATCCTTCACTATTGTAAGTAAATGGCCATTTCTTGGGAAGTTTAAGGAATGTCCATTCCATAATTATTCTAATAAACCAAACATTACCTAACATAAATATAACGACTACGCTATCTAAACCAATCACAATTAATTCAAATATCACATAACTTATAACTATTACTACTAAAACAAATACAAAAAGGCATTCCATTTGAAGACATTATGTGAGGCATGCATATTAGTTTATTAATTGCAACAAAATGTGGGGGGCCATCTCATTGACACTTGGAGATACAAAACAAAATTGTATAGCATTATATGGAACTTTTGGAAACTTTGCAGGGGCGATGGCCCCTCCCCGCCATCCCTTGCATCCACCATTGACAATATGGACATGCCAACACGAAAATTTTCAAAAAAAGTTTGGACAAGGCACTATAGCGGCACAGCAAAAAATAATATATATTTATTCTGAGTAGGGCAATTGTAGTTAACTTGCACCTTAGGCTATCGTGGTTATGTGATCACCTTTTAGTTGGGATGTTAGATAGTGATCCAATGGCTTCTACTTCACAAATCAATAATTACCTATGGGGTTTCTTTCCCACTTTCCTTCTTTATTAATAAGGCAATAAAAAAAAATTACGAAAGAAATCCACAAGGGGTTTCCTACAATGTAAACCCTTGGCATAAGGTTTCTTTCCCACTTTCCTTCTTTATTAATAAGGCCATAAAAACAAAATTAAAAATAAAAATTAGGAAAGAAATCTACAAGGGGTTTCCCACAACATAAACCCTTGGCGTAAGAAAATGAAAATCCAACAACATCAAACCCTTGACATTGGAAAACAAGCAATTTACTTCTCACTAATTTGATATTAACCAATTATCTATTAAAATGTAATGAGAAAGATGTAGTTTCATAGTGCTCTTATTAGCTCTTAAAACCTCTCACCTATGATGCATGGATATGGACACGGGACACGGGACACAGACACGCAAATTTTCAAAAAATTGAGGACACGACACACTGGTAACACGTTTAATATATATAATTTTATTTATTTATTATATGTCCAAAATTTAAAAAAAAAATCCTTAATTTCTATACAATTACAATAATAATAAGATTAATAAAGACATTCTTAAATTTTTTTAATAAAAAAAATTTTGTTTTTAAATAAAAATAATTTATTTTATTAATTTTAGGTTTAACAAAATAAGGAAAAAAAAAGAAAGAACAAATAGAGGAGGAAGGGGGGAGAGAGAGAGAGATGAAATCTAGAAATAAAAGAAGGGAGAGGAACGGGGGTAAAGAGAGAGAAGTGAAAAAGGGGGGTGAAGTCAGAAAATGGGAGAACAAAAGTGGGAGGGGAGAGAGACGAAATAGAAAAGGGAGGGACGAGACAAAACAGAAAAGAAGACCGAGAGTAGAAGAGAAGAAGAAGAACAAAGAAGATGAGGATAGAGAAGACGAAGAGGAAGCAGAAGAGGGAGGGGAGAAAGACAAAACATAAAAGGGAGGGGAGAGACGAAACAGAAAAGAAAACGAGAGAAGAAGAAGAGAAGAAGAACAAAGAAGATGAGGACAGAGAAGACAAAGAGAAGGAAGCAAAATAGAGAAGACGAAGAAGAATACCTCAGGTTAGGGCTTCTTCAATTGATCTCTTTTGAACAAGTTAAGGGTTCTTCCTTCAATCGATCTCTCCCTCAATCTCTTTCTCTCTTTCTCTCCAACAGGTTAGGGTTCTTCAATCCACCTCGCGCGTGTCCGGAAAGTGTCACCGCATGTCCACCGCGTGTCCGACTGGAAAAATTCAATAAAAAAAGAGGACACGTTAGAGAGAGTGTCGGACACGTGTCTGATGCATGTCCGATGCGTGTCTGACACCCGTACGTAGGCCCTGGAGACATGTCGGTGCTTCATAGCCTCTCACCACTCACTAATTCTATACTCTCTAATTTGATTTTGTCCTATGTCATCTACTGATCTTTGCCTCCGATTCTAATTTCTTAATGGTATATAATTCTCATTGCTCCGTGTTGTGATCCTAGCAGAGAAAAATAGAACAATTATTCTTATGATGCTGCTTAGTGGGATAATATACACACCTGTGCTGGGTTTACTTTTTTCTTTTTCCAAAGTCGAGGAAATTGTTGTGTTTTCATTTTCTGAGGTCAAGAGTTTTACGTCGTACAGACTAAATGTAATCACCGAGGATTCCTTATGATTATTCCTAAGTGACTTTATTTTTATTGCCTTATTAGTATATAAGGAAAGTAGGAAAGAAACCCTATAAATAATTATGATTTGTTAAGAAAAACCATCGGATCACAATCTAAAGGCCCTAGTAAAAGCGAACCACCATAGCCTATGGTGCAAGGTAACCACCAACAAGCTATTTATACATATCTATATACAAGCAAATAGTAACAATTTATTCATTTTTGTTACAAATTATTTATATTTAATATTTATTTCACAAAAGTAGTAACTAATCAATTTCCACAATTTATATTTTATATCTTGGAATACAAGTGAACAAAAAGTCATATCTACTTTTTATTTTAAAAAATATCTCTATTCCCAGACAAATTAAATTAAGATTTTTATAATTAAAAAGTCTAAAGAAGGCAGGATTAACCACATTGTTTTGATTTGAAAATCATTAATACCAAGTTAATTTCTTCTGACTTGAAACACAATCTGATATGTCTAAGTGCTAGACACACATCCCCCCAAGTCTTTAAAGTGTCTCAATTTTTAAAAATTAAAAACATAATAGGACACATTTCAATGGGTGTATGACGCGTGTTGAGACCTATTTGATGAGTGTCAGTGTGTGACAAAGACACATATCATTCTAGAAGTGTACATGCTTCTTAAAGAAGCAAAAAAACTTAAGATTTTTTAGACGATCATGAACAATAAGTGGGCCAATAGATGATATGCCCAAGAAGTAACCTAGATCCCCAAGTCAAAGTCGGGCCAAGTTGATAGATCATGAGTTGTAGATTCTAACTGTGTTCACCCCAAGCTCATTGAATAGGATGATCAAAAAGTGGCCTAGCTTTTCCTATCCAAGAGACCCTTCAATAGAAGGCACTTGCATTTTCAACATTGTTTTTTTGGGGTACAATTTATGCATTTTCAATATCATCACAACACAATCATTATCAGCTTACATCAGTGAGATTTGATCATCATATTTTTTCCTCCTTACACTAACCGTTTCAACATCAGGACGCCTCCTCTGCCATCTAGACCATTGTTCCTTCTCTGGTTTTCTCCAGTTCCACCATAGTTCTTCACTTGTTAGTGGCTCCTCTATTGGTTTCTTCACTTTTGGATCAATAAAGGGGTGCGGCCGCCCAAGTTTCTTGTCCAATTCATACTCAGTTAGCTCCTCTTCCTGCGATTCAGTCTGATAAACAACATATTCAGAGGAGAGATCCTTAGGCTCTTCTGAACCATCACCCAAAGTTTCAACTTCCAATTGATCATTTAAAGCTACACTCATCTCAGAAGACACAGAAGAAGCATCCGAAGCAACTGCTGTCTTATGTTTTTTCCTTCTACTTCCAGGACTTTTCCCATAGGATGGAGCTCCTGTTGACAAACCAGCTGGTTCAGGTGCCCTAGCTGCCCTGACTCGACTAGCTGTACCTTCTGGCCAGTACTCTTGTCCCGGAATGCTTGCACGTGCACCAGAGGCTGGTTCAATTTCCCCAGATGTGGAGTCCACATAACTGTAATAAGGTGGGCGTTCAACGGATACATGCTCATAGGAACCCTCCTTCTTCTCAGTGTTCTCACACTTTATGCACAAATGTAAAGGGACCTTTCTAAGTGGATTGCTCAAGCCACGTCTACCTTGCCATACAGATGCTGGAAATGAACCTGCAAAAGATATCTGGGTGGTTCCCAGAATAATAACCATATAGCCATTGGCATCAAATTAACTACATTATGAACACTAAAGGAGGATACGGAAAATAGCAATTCACCATCCACCACCAATCCAACACAACATGCATTTCTACAATATTTGCAAGCCATCGTTTTGTAGGTTCAATCAAAGAACAGTTGAAACAGTAAGAGCACACGAAAAAATAATAATAATAATAATAAAATAAAATCTAGAACTCACAGCCAGCACATCGGACTGCATTCTTTGATTTGAATTAGACAATCCAATACAAAACTTTCTCATAGGCATATTATATATATATATATATGTAATTGACAGACACATGTATACATAAATACTCATACACATACAAGTTAGCGTACATATATATATGCGTGTCTATAAAAAAATAAAAATAAAAACCTGCAAGTGCTGCAAACAGGACTTCTTAGCAGACCCATCTGCAGAAACAATACTTCTTAATCCTCCATCTGCAACACAAATTGGGGAAGAAAAAAAAAATCATTTGACATAAAACCCACTCAATAGTAGAGATTGAGTATACAGTACGAAAAGGGCATTGCATGTGATGGGGCGGAGAAGCATACCTTGATACAGCCAGGTAGGTGATGTTGACGCCATACTTTTCCTGCAAATGAAATTATTATGACCCACCAACATTGCGTAGAATTACAAACGGACTGTTTGTGTAATATTATGCATATTTGTGATGCGAACTCATTATAAATATATATATATATATATATACTTCTTTTCTTTTCTTTTCACGGATAACCTAACACTTTCATATCCTCTGGAGTGTCAAGCCCCTGTAGTGAAGGGAAAAAAGAGAGAGAGAGAGAGAGAGGGAGAGAAACGAAGAGAAAAGAAAATGCGGACGAAGAGAGAGAAGACGAAGATTTTCTAATTTTACTATAATCAAAATCAAAATTCAACACGGAAACAAAAGATTTACACCAAGCAACAGTCTTTATGTCAAAATAGTAATACAATACACTGAAACAAAATCAAAACTGAATTGCATATTTCAACTTCAAACCTAATACAGAAATAATTACAACCCCAAACCTAATTTTTCAAACAAAAACCCTAATTTATTCAACTTCAAAACTAACTCAGCTCAATTGAAAAGCCCAATTCAGAAGTTGAAACCCTAATTTCTCCATTTCAAACCCAACTTCTGAGAAACGAACCTGGAAGGTGGGAGACCCGACGATCACGGTCGCCGACGGTTGTAGCGCCTCTGTATTTTTTGTCTTCTTTTTCTCTTCTCATTAGCGCCTCTGTGTTTTTATTTTTTTTTTTAATTTTGCCACACTACACAAAACGACAACGTTTTCTATACTGATACTTAGTGGTGGACAACCGTTTATCCGACCCGCACAACTCGCCCCCAACTGACCCTATCCGCACACATAAATAGGGAGGGTGCCGGTCTATTTTTCTACCCGAAATCAGGTTTGGGTCAGACCCGATGCTACCCGCATATATCCATATCCACCTGCAAATCATGTCTAAAATAATAAAAGAAAGTTCCTCACTTCAAGTTTTTTCTTTTTTTTTTAACAAAACCCCATTCACTCCTAGATATTGATCCCAAAGAAAATACTCTCTGTCATCCTCCTCCCTTCTCTCTCTCTCATCTCGCCATTGTCTTTCTTTCTCCCTCTCTCTCTCTTATCTCACCTACCTCTCTCTTCTCTCCTCCTCGTCGTCGTGACCACCACCATCTCTTACCTCCTTACTTGCAGTCTCTTTCCTCTCCTCTCCTCCCCGTCACCATCTCTCTCCTCTCCTCTCGCCATGATGCCGTCCTTTCTTGCGAATCGTCCCCGTCGTCGTCGTCGTCTCTCTCATCTCCTCTCCCCTCACTGTCGTTCCCTCCTTTTCTATCTATCATCATGGCCAATCGCAAACCAGATCTAGATATTTCCAGATCTGAAGATGTAGAAACTGCACCAAAAAATAAAAAAAAATAAGTGTTTTGTTGCATAAGGTTGGAGTACCAGATTTGAAATCTCAGTTTTGTTTTGTGATTGGGTTGCTTGGTTTGCATTTTTTTTTTTGTGTTGTTTTGTTTTTTCTTTTTTCTTTTTTTCCTTTTTTGCCCAAAACATATCTCAGAAAGGGGGAAGGCTCTAAAGCAAAGTCCAAAAATAAAATTTTTACAAAAAAAAAATAAAAAAAATAATCTAATTTACAAACCGCTCGCATCCACCCGCACAACCGCACGACCCACCCGTACAACCCGCAACCCGCATTGCTGGTGGATGCGGTTCCATTTTTTCCTAACTCGCACCCAATCGGGCGGGTCCAACCTACCACTCGAACCGTGTATAACCAATCTGTGAACACCCCTACTGATACTCACGGATCGAATTGGGTCATATGGTTTCTCATCCGTCATCCATCTAAATTTAGACAGATTGCAAAAAATTAATGAGGCACTTACCAATAAGTCTCATACACAAAGTTTAAAATTCATCTAGTCTCAAAATAAAATATTTGCACCAATTAGTGTTATATATATTTTTAACTGTTACAAAAAAAAATTGAATTGAAAAACATTACTACATTCTATCATCGCTGAATTTTCATCAAATGGTGACCTGAGACTTATTGAAATGTTCAACATCATCGGAAATCGTTAGAGTATCCTTGGAAATTTGCCGAAATGTTCAGAACGTCATTGGAAGTCACCGAAATATCCAGAATATTTGTTGGATGTCAAGAACATCATTAGAGACTCACTAAAATGTCCAGAATATTGCTGAAAATGAAAAAAATAAATAAAGAAATTAGAGCGAAAAAAAAAACATAACAAAATGTACTAAATATTTATAAATAGAAAGCAAAAAAAAAAACAACAACAACAACAACAAATAACAACAATAGGAAATATATATTATTTTTAAATTTTTGTAGGGTTTAAGCAAATAATCTTCAATATTAATCAAACTAAAAAATAAACTTTGAAACTGTAAAATGTTACAGTTTCAAAGTGTGATCCTATTAAGCATTTATCCTTACTAGTGAGGTGCACGTGTAACATGTTTTCAATTAATCTAATATAATGTAACGTGATTAGTTTTTTTTTAAATCCTTGTTACTTGTCCTTGTAATATAGAGAACAAATTTTATAATAGAATGGGTATATTAAACAATGCACCCCTTTGTCAGTATATTGTATAGAAAATTTAACAAAATTGTGAACAAAATATAACATTTATAAACTTAAAAAAATACAATAAGTTCGTTCTTAAATACATAATGTTTACCAAAAAGAAGGAGAAAGAAAAAGAAAAATTGAATAAAGAGTTTTTGTGATTGATTTCCTATGCAGTGAACATCTACACAATGAGAAAGATAACACATTATTCATAAGAATCATTCATAATTTATGTAGAAAATGTGTGAAATTTATTTTGTAAGAAAGTGAATTTTACACTAATGTTTTGATCCATACACAAATTTCATAAGTAATTTCTTGATATTTATAAACCCATTATTATGAGTGTATTCAACTTCACTATCAATTTACACTATCAAAATCTTTTATAAAAATCAGAAGTAATTATATGTTAAAATTTATCAAAGAATTAATGTAATGGACTTACTTTTGCACCATTAAGTTCTAGTCATGATATTTGACTATCATTTGAACTATCCCTTTTATTGTTGTGAGTAATACATGTATCATAATAGAAAATATAAAATAATAATTTTTTTATGCAATCGTATCGAACCACAAAGAGAATGAAAAGAATTTGTCTTCAAAGGTAGAATATGTTTATATATTAAACTCTGCATGATTTTATTTTATTTTATTTTATAAATAAAAGCATACCGATTGTAAGTTGTAACTAATGCACTAGCTTGAGTCTAAATTTAATCCCTTTTAGATTATATTTTATATGTGTGTGTGTATGTAAATAGTGACTATTTTTTTTGTATCAATTTGATATGAGATATAAAGAGAGACCTATTCAATTGAAAATAATAAATTAACCAAATTCTATTTAGTTTCAAATAGGGCTGCAAACAAATCAAGCCGAGCCGAGCTTTGCTAAGCTCGAGCTCGAGCTCGGCTTGTTTACTTATCGAGCTCGTTTATTGAGCTCGAGTTTGACTCAATAAGGAACTGGGCTCAAACTTGGCTCGACTCGTTAATATTAATGAAACTCGAGCTTGGCTTGGCTCGGCTCGATAAATTTTTTTTCAGTATTATTTATATTATTTAATATATAAATAATATAGTTATTATATAATTTATTTTTTTTTTGTGGATAAATAAAAGCATGTCGATTGTAAGTTGTAACCGGTGCATTGGTTTGAGTCTAAATTTAATCCCTTTTAGATTATATTATATTTATATTTATATAAATAGTGACCTGTTTATGGGGTCAATTTGATAGGAGATATATTAAGCAAACATTATTTTATTTCAATCTCCAACAGCAAATTAACTTTTTTTTTTAAAAAAAAAAATAGAAGTTAAAATAATAATAAATAAATAAAAGAAAAAAAAAATTCAATCTTATTGATTACTGTAAATAAATTCAAATTTTGAATTTCAATATGATTATGGAATAAATTATATATTTGTAAATAATTAAATTTGGAAATCTAATTTCTCATTCACTTTTTGAATGAATGAATGTTTTCCACGAAGGCAGTTACCGTACCGTAATTTCAGGCGAACTTGAAACCCATCTTGAATCCAATTTTTTGGGGAGCGTTTAAGAAACTCTCTGACCAGTCACACCGAGGAGGTACTGCTCATCAGTGGCGATGTGATACTTGCCGTAACACCTCTTGAATTGAATGACGATGTCAATACTATCACCTCTGTACCTCGCCATTGATAAATCACCTTCCTCTCTTACACAATTTCCTTCACAATCATGTCGTCTCCATCCATCGCAACCAATCAAGACATCTCACACTCACTTGAGATCTAAACTTTGACCATTGTGGAGGCAACCAATTGATGCAGTTTCCTACAACAACTTTTGATGCACGTCATGACCGCCATATTGTAGCTAATCTTATCAAGTATTAGCCAAACCCTCACCAACTAATTTGCAACCCATGCTTTGGTGCAATCATTCATGCCTTCAATTATTTTCTCTCTTCATATTCAACAAAGGTGTTTTTTTAATTTATTTATGTGGTGAAATGGATGGGAAATGGATGACGCGCTAGCCATGGTTGAGGAAAGAAAGGTTAACGATGGGAAGGACATCACTGAACATGATGCTTACGAGAGACAAAACCACTAACTTTTTCTTCAATACAATTTGAACCGTTGAATAGACAAAATGATGAAGTGGCATTATCTCATTTATAAGACTAGACAGTCCAATTTTTTAATAAAATACAGATAAGCCACTCTCTTGTTATAGCAGTAGATAAATAGAAGCAATGATTTGTATATGCCTTTTCTTTCAAATATGGTAATGCTTCATACTTCTTGTGTCATTTAAATCCAATTATAAAAAGGGTATTTTCGAAATAGAAGAAAAATAGAGGAGTAGTAAATTAATTAAAAAAATAATAATATTATGATATTTGAAGGTGTAGAAGAAAAGTAGAAAAGTAGTAGAATTATTAAAAAAAATAATTATATTATGATATTTGGAGGTTTCATACTTGTCGTTTCATTCAAATCCAATTATAAAGAGGGTATTTTCGGAGTAGAAGAAAAGTAAAAAGGTAGTAGAATTATTAAAAAAATAATCACATTATGATATTTGAATGTATCTGATGTTTGAAGGTGTTTAAATTCCAAAAAGTGTTTGATTGTTCGGTAAATGTAGATTGTTGTGATGTTTAACAAGTTTTGGAGGGTATTTTTGGGATATGGGAAAAGTAGAAAACATATGTGTTCTTTTAAACTAGTAAGATTAATCAAACTGAAAAAACATGTTATGAAACTGTAAAATTTTACAATTCTAGAACATGTTATGAGATTCTAAAATTTTACGGTTCTAAAGAATGTTATGAAACTGCAAAGTTTTGCAGTTTTAAAGCATAATTCATTTCAGCACCAAAAAAATTAAAACTGTAATTTTCTCCATTAAAACAGGAAAATAGAAGTCTGAGCAGAGAAAAGTAGAAAATTGAGAGATCGAATGAGAGAAACATCTATGAGAGAAGATTGTATTCTGGTAACTACTTTTGGTTTAGATTTAGTTGGATTACATCATATCTGAGTAGATCTACTCATCTTCTTTGATAGAAACTTACATCAGATCTAAGTAGATCTACTCATCTTCTTCGACAGAAACTCGTCTACTTCTTCGTCGAT